GGTTTCTTAGAGTTAAAGCAGCTGCGTGTTCTGTTTACCTGGCTCAGTACCTTAATAATGGGCCCCTGTAGGCCTGAGTTAATGCTCCATAATCCTTGCAATTTTCACCATGAGCCAGTGATCAGAGAATCTCATGTCTGCTGCAGGAATAAAAAGCAGGAATGGCCATAAATTGTAGCCTTCAGTTGGATAGCACTCTGACTTGTGGCTATAATGGGAACTATTATGACTTTAGCTCTAGATAGAGACAGTCCTGTGAGCTCAAGGTTAGTTGTCAGGTTTCACAGGAGCCAAAAAATGTGTGTGTCATGTCCAGGTCCTTCAGGACAGACGCAGAAGACCCTAGTCAGGCAAAGACTTAGCTGTTGTCACAATGTGCATAAATGGTGCAAGGCTAGGTCTGGGTTTCTTAAAAGATGAAAGCTCTTTCCTAATTACTGTATATATTTGAGTAGATTGTGACTTATGTGTGGTGGTTTGAATGAGACCATGTATTTGAATGTTTGGTTCCCAGTTAGTGGACTGTTTAGGAAGGATTAGGAGGTGTGGCCTTGTTGGAGAAGTTATGTCACTGTGGGGTGGGCTTTGAGGTTTCAAAAGCTGACTCCAGGCCTAGTTTCTTGCTCTCTGCCTCCTGCTTGGATCAGATGTAAGCTGTCAGCTACTGCCTCCAGCCCCATGTCGGCCTGCCTCTACAGTCCCCACCATGACAGTTATGGATTTACTCTCTGAAACTGTAAGCAAGCCCTTGATTAAATGCTTTCTTCTATAAGTTGCCTTGTTTGTAGTGTCTCTTCACAATAATAGAATGGAAACTAAGACACCAAACCTACACAACCACAGTGGGAAGCCCTGCCCGTTATTTTCTCTAGGTGATCTTTTAAAAACATAATCAGATGGCCTGGGACTAGTCTTCTGAGAAGTGAGTATATGTAAGACTTAAGTCTTAGTCGGTCCAGAGTGCTGTAACAGAAAACCACAGACCCGCAGGTTATACATGACATACCACAATGCCCCTCAATTCTAGATATTAAAAAAGTTCTGGAGCAGGTGCCAGCAGATTTGTTATCTGGCAAATGTCTGCTTCCTTGTCCACAAATGGTTATGTCATAATCGAAAGTGGTGAAGGACCTCTGTGTGGAGTGAGGGTTTCAAAACATGGATTTTTGTTTGTTTTGTTTTTATTCTTTGTTTTTTGCTTTTTGAGATAGGGTCTTAAGGCAGCTGTGTGTTCTGTTTACCTGGCTCAGTACCTTAATAATGGGCCCCTGTAGGCCTGATTTAATGCTTCTTAATCCTTGCAATTTTTACCATGAGCCAGTGCTAAGTTCAAGCTAAGTTCAAATCTGGCTTGAACTTACAGTACAACCAAAGATGACCTTGAACTCCTGACCCTGCTGTTTCCAGCTCCATGCTGCAGATGGAATGGTATATGAGTTTTGAGGAGACAAAACTATGCAGTCTGGTATTATATTCCAAGTCTTCTATGATCCATATTCTTTTCACTTGCAAAACACACTCACTACATTTCCAGAGCCCCCAGATTTTAACCTATTTGAGCATCAATTCTAAAGTCTGAAATGCAGAATCTCATCTAAATGTCATTTAATCGGATAGGACTGGGATTCAAGGTATGACTCACTCTGAGGCACACTGCCATTCCTGTTGTGAACCAATGGAATCAAACATCACAAGGCTCCAAAATTTAGGGGTAGAACTAGCACAGGAGAAGGTAGCATATCACAGCGTAGAGTAGCATAGAGATGTCCATTCCAAAAGGAAGAGACAAGAAGCAAAGGGTCTCAAGTCCCACCTAAGCCCAAACTACAAGGTAAATTGTTGGAGATCTTAGGATTCACAAAGAATCTGTTTTGGTTAGACTGCCTTTCCTCCAGGTACACTGTGCTAAGGTCTGGCATTTGGGAAGCACTGTGGGTAATGGTCTCTCCTGGATATGTGGAACATTACCCCTAGATCTGCCAAGCATGCTCTGCATGCCCAGGGTTCCTCCAGGTCCCCCATACTCAAGTGCCTCTGAGTGGAGCTTTCCATCATTCCTTCCCATCTTGTCTCCCTTCTGCTTCAGACTGTTACTTTTTCAGCTGCTCAGGTCTGGTTCAACCCTATATTAATTCCTCGTTCATGGCTTGCCACCCACTGTGTTTTCAATATGCTTTCTTATTTTCTACCATGTGGAAAGACTTAAGAATTTTCAAGATCTAAGCTTCATCCCTACTGGCTGTTATTCATTCATCGTGCTAGAAGGTGCTGTGTATGTTGCAAGAGGAGAAAAATATCGCCTGGCTCACCCACTGTGAACCCTGCCTGGCACTCACTGTGTACAATAGTGACTATGATGTTAAGGGAACAGCCCGTTACTTTCTTATTTCATTTAAGGTCCTTCCACAAGATGGCTTCTACACCTGACACTGAAATGAGGCTAAGAATATGTGGCTAAATATGTTATTGAGCCTAGGAGAAAACCCTGCTACTAATTTTCTGCTAAGCAGACACAAAATGATCCGTGACGACTTGTGTCTCTCAGTCCTCAGCACAGAAACTCACAGCAAATAGTAATTAACATAGACACCTATTACTGGTCAGTGTGCAGAGAATAAGAGGAGACACTGGAGTGTTTATTCCTAAATGGGACATCTATACCATTACCTTCAAGTCTCAGAAATCTGAGGAGATTAGATTACTAAGGCAGAAGTGGTGGATGACTGAAAACAACAGTGGTTTCCAGACACACAAGCTCAAGCCATATAAGATTCCAGCATGGAGGAAGATGGGTGGGCATGAAGTCCACCCTACCTGAGGAGTTATTGATGCTTGAATGCTGTTGGGAGACAGAAAGAGAGTTTTCTTCATGGATTGACACCCAGTACATCAACCACACTCTGGGGGAGTTGGCCAACACAAACTGGACTAGATGGGTTCACCAAAAGAGAGTTGTGAGAGAGTGAGGAAGAGGAGGGCAGGTGGGTAAGGAAGTGGAGGAGGAGCTGGGGAAATAGAGGAATATAATCAAAATATATTATCTGAACTTTTTCAAAGAATAAATAAATATATTATTTTTAACAAGACTTTTTCCAAATCCTTGAGTTCTAGCTTCTATTTGCTTAGTCAGCTTGTCTTCAAGTGATTTCCGTCATCTCTACATTTTCTCTTAGCCTTTAGCTGGGAAGCACCATGCCTTCAACAGTTCACTTAGAAACTACTCGAGCTTAAGCATCGCATATTGCTGTTTTTAAGTTCTGTCTTCCACAAAACCATCTTATGTGGACCCAGCTCACCATGGTTCTTCACACCACATGACAACAAGGGCCATCTAGCTTCTAATAACGCAGTCTTCATTGCCATTAGAGACACCAGGAGAACAGACTTTACCTCCTTGTATCTGCCAGCCATCTGTCCGTGGTCACCTGGAGATTCAAGAAGAAGAGCCTTTGAACAGCTCCCCTTTCTTTCTCAGTTCACCCATCAGAATCAGCCTAGCCGTCCATTCATAGATCTTTCCGAGCACCCATGTCAGATCTCTCCAGTGTCCACCAGTGGCACAGTTCAGGCTCTGCTGCTCCAGCACTCCTACTCCCAGGTACCAGCTGCTGTCTTAGTGTTGGTGGGGAAGGGGGGGTCATCTCTGAATCCCAGGTTTGGATCTGTACCCTGACTTCCAGCACCTAGGAGTGCCCAGAGCTGGGACTAGTACTACAAGGAATCCTCCTGGCTAGTAGTTTCTTAAGAGCAAGGGCTGGTCTTATTTTAAGCTTCCAGTTTAGTTCTTAGCATGTATCAGTTGTGTGAGGGAAGCACCTTGACCTCAGCGATTGAAGTCACTGGATGCTGATAGCTTTCTGTGTGTGTTTGCAGCCAGACCACCTCATAACGCCCTTACTGTTTATCTGCAGTTATCACTTATTGGTGGCAATAATGGATCTGAACATGGAGTACCCTTATCCTGAGACATATTATTAAAAAAATAATAATTTATACTTATTTAGCACCAGTAACTTTAATTTTTTAAAAACTGATTTTGGTATGTGTTGTGTGCTGTGTCTGTATGGCATGTACATGTGAGTTTGTGGGTGCGTGTATCTGTGGAGGCCAGAGTATGTCTTTTATCATCCTCTGCCTTATTCCTTTAAGACAGGGTCTCTCACTGAACCAGAAGTTCTCTTTTGTGGCTAGACTGGTTGGCCACTGAGCTCCCGGGATCCACATTTCTCTGTTTCCTGATACTGGGGTTCTACTATAATCCCATATGGCCATATTCAGAATTTTTTACATGGGTATTGGGGATTTTAACTCAAGTCCCATTGCTTACACAGCAAGTACTCTATATCCATTGATCCCCTACCCTATATCTAGCACCAGGAATTTCTGAGTAGTCCTTACAGACAACTCTAAGAAGTAGAGACCAACATTATTACTATGACAAATGAAAATATAAAGAAATTAACCTAAGGTTATACAACTAATGTTGAGATGAAAAATCATTTTTGTTGTGCTTTGAGTCAGGGACTCTGGTAGCTTAGACTGACCTTGAATTTGCTATGTAGTGGAAGATGGCCTTGAACTTCTAATTCTCTTGCCTCTGCCTCCCAAGTGCTGGGATTACAGGAGTGTGCTGCCACACCCACTTCAGAGACACAAATCTTGACTGTGACTTACAGCTCTGCTTATAACTGCTGTGCGGTGGCGCCTACAATGTAATTACACAGCAATATCTTTGCATGATTGCATTTCCTAGACAAGTTCCATCATTTTAACGTCAGAGCGTTTAATTTTAACCTGGGATCTAGTACATGTGTCTTCTCCAGCATGCTGTTCAGAAGATGCCCTGGAGCCTACTGAGGTGTGGAGCTGAGTTTCTCTGCACTGTGTTTTTCTGGAGAGCTGGGATATTTGACTGCAATATTCACCCTCCTTCCCCTTTTCCTCTTCACTTGTGTTAGAGTAGGCTGCCTTGAGAACCATTTTTTTTTTTTTTTTTTTTGCCTGGTACTATCACTGTCTTTTATTTGTTTATTCTTACATTAACATTAAAAGACTTAGGATACAGTCAGTAAAAACAAAGTAAGTTAGACACTAAGATGTGGAGAGAGGCAAGACTGTAACTAGGGTCTGAAACACCCCAGGAGCTATGCTTCTGAACCATGCTCTTCTCAACTCCAGGGCACATGGGCTGATAAAAGAGTGGACACTATGAGCAGACAGATTAACTGTGTACCATATATAGTGAAAATTTTAGTAACTCATTAAAGAAGCAAGAATATCTAAATCTTTAACAAAGCAACAGTCCCTTGATTCTAAGTCATCTTAGACAGGGGTCTCTAGTGTTTAAATCAGAGGCAGCATCTAGATACCTGGAGTTTCTTAAACTTCATAGACTATCCAGTATAATAAGTGCATATATAAGAACTAACATGTCAGAAAGTTATGCAAAGAGTAACTGTACAATGGTCCTAAAATAAGCTACTTCTAGTGTCTAGGTACTATAAGTTATATTAACTAAACACATCTAATTAACAGTTCCCATACAAGCTATGCTTCAAGCTTAGACCACCACAACATTGACCATCTAGTTCCAAAGCTTCAACAATGTGTGCAGCAGATGGGCGATCTTTAGGATCCTCATTAGTACACACACAGAAGAGTTCAATGACCTTCTGGTAGGATTCATCCAGTTCTTCCATGTTGATGGATGGCCTTGTCCCCAGAGCTGCATAGTATGCTTCATCATCGAAGTCACTCTCATCAAAGGTTGCATCTTCATCATCATCATCTGGAAGATTGATGTGTGGAATACACAAAGTCATCATTTCCCACAGAGTAAGGCCAAAAGCAAACATATCTGCCTTGTCAGTAATAATGCCATTTTCCTCCAATGCTTCCTTAGGTTTCCATGGCTCAGTGCCAATATAACAGGCCTCAGGATCAGTCACAGTCATATTTTCATCCAGTGGCAGAGAGACTCCTACATCACAGATTTTAATTGTTTCAAAATCACCTTTAATTACAACATTTGAAGACTTTATGTCTCCATGAAGTAGCTTCTTTTCTTGATGCAGATACTTTAGCCCTCTCGCCATGTGCAAAGCAACTCTGAGAATTACAGCAGCAGGAAAAGGACTTCCACTGTCTTTGTTCCGCTCTTCTATCAGGTCATTCAGAGACTTTTCACCTCCATACTCCATAGCAAGGCACAGATTACCATCACTGGCTTCAGTAAAAGCACGATACCCTATAATGTTTGGGTGATTTAGGTTTTTTAAAATCTTAGCTTCATCAGTTAGTCTCTTCTGATACACAGTTCGATATTGACCATCACATAAAGGATTTATCTTTTTCACAGCCCAAGGAGAATGAGACAACCCTCTAGGAGATCTTTTCATTAGGTAAACGCTGACCCCAGTCCCAAAGCCAAGCTTCTGCATAAATGGAGAGGCAGGGATATTTACACATGGAGTCGAACATAATACAGATTTCCTTTTTTCAGATAATTTGTTTGGTGTCTTGAAATTATTGATTCCTTCCATTGTAGCAATCACGTTAGATCCACATTCGTACCCTCGGGTAAAAAGGTGAAAAATGAGAACCATTTTAGGTTCACAGTAATATCTCTTTAAACTGTAACAGTAAAAAAAAAAGTTGATTGTATAAGATAGATAGATAGATGGATAGATAGATGGTGTAGTGTTAAATGTAGTCACATGAAAGGGATGCTGATAAAGGAATTCTCACATTAAATATTCTGGATGATGCTGAAGATTCATTCTAATACAGAATGTCCTCTTTGGTCCTGTTCTCTGAAACTCTTAGCGTCCCATCATCAGAGCTGTCTTGTCTTGCCTATTTCCTCTATCTAATTACATTACCACTTTCCCTGTAAGGAACCATGCGATGTCCTCAAGTTCTTCTTGGCCTAATTTCCTAACAGAATTTCCTGGTGTTATCTGTGGTAGATCCCAAAGACATAATTGTTGTAGGGTCTGGAAAAGCATCTTGTGTTCACAATGTGCACACATGCATGCACACACACACACACACACACACACACACACACACACACACACAGAGTCACATTCACTGGGATTAACTTGTAGGGGTTAAGCACTCATTGTGATCAGTAAGCCATGTGTATCAGATTAATCTGAGATTTGAGATGCTTGTTAAAAATGGAGATTTTGGACCTCATCCAAGACCTATTAAATATGAATGTCTAAGGTTAAAGTCACAGATCATTTTTCTCCATCAAAGCATGTTTACATTTTTATGTTCCTTTAGGAACTTGCCAAACATTCAAGAATAGAGAGGATAATATAGTAAAGTCCACATATCAAAACTCAGTAATTAAGTCCTAGTCAGTGTTTGTCGATCTGTAATTTGAAGCCAGTTCTAGGCCTTGTATCACCTAGAATGGTTCCACACATGCCCCTGAGACATAACCATAATACGATGATCATCCTTAAGAATTCCTACTAATAACCTCCAATATCATTAGATTTCTGGCCCACATATTTCTTGTTTCACACACTTGCTAACTAGGTAGTATGCTATATGCTCAGATAGGTCACTGCTGCAGGTAGGACTTGACTCTGGACTGTTGCCCAGTGCTGTGGTTTTCTCTTTCAGCTTTTTTGCATTGAGTGAAAAATTTTCTGTATATATGTTTCATTTTATTTCCCACAGTCATCCATAAGGGGCTTCCATGATGGATGCCTGGAAGTATCCTTCCGATGCCATCCAGTTCTAAAAATGTTTCTTGAACCCTTATACACTTAATCAATAACATATTTGGGTAGAAATTTTTAAGTTGAATATAGTTTTCTTCTCAGAAATTTTCATGCATTTTCTTCTATATAGTTTCTGGTAAGTTTGATTATGGTTCTAGTTTCTTAGTGTTTTAATTAGTGTGTGTGGGGAGAGGGGACCATAGGTTGATGTTGGTTGGAGTCTGTTGTCACTCTCCCTGTTACGTGTTCAGACAGGGTCTCCTGACCTGAAGTTTACTGATTGCATTAGGCTCACTGGCTAGTGAGCTGGGGATCTGACTATGTTCACTTCATCCCCTCAGTGCTAGGGTTACTGATGTGCGAGACCACATCTAGCTTTTACCTGTATGTTGGGGATCTGAATGTAAGGCCTTGTGCATAGCAGGCGGTTTACTCGCTGAGTCCTGGATCTTTATTATTCTTATCTCAGCTTTATGGCTTTCTCTTATCTTTATTTTTTCAATGTCACAATAAAAACATCTATGATCAAAGTATTGTGTCTCAGAGCTGGGTGGATCTCTACCCACTTCTTCAGTTTTAAGGAACTTAAACACTGTCCCCCTTCGATGACATTTGCCTCCATTTTCTGTGTCTTAGTCTTTCAGTAATTGTAGATATTATATCTTTCAGGGGGAAACACCCTTTATCATTGCTTGTATTTCTGAGTTGGGTTTGTTGTTGTTGTTGTTGCTGCTGCTGCTGGTGGCAGTGGCGGCGGCGGCGGTGGCGGTGGTGGTTTAGGTTTACCTTCTACCAAGTTTCTTAGCTGTTGTGTTTCTGAATTGCTCTTCTATTTGGAGAATTGTCTTATTTTCATTCCTGGGTCAGATGGGATCTCTAGGGTCCTCTTTGCTGGTTACTGCTTCACCCATGCTTTTTAATCTATACTGCATCATACAGAAATGAATTGCCTCTTGCTGTAATTTGGTTCATGCCGTGGATCATTTATACTGATGCCTCAGCTTGGCTGGTGTCCTTTGAGCTGCTGACCTTCCTGTTTGGTTCCATTGATTGCTACTTCTAGCCCGTAGGAGATGGAATGAGAATGGCCCCCATAGGCTCATATGTTTGTGGAACTATTTGGAATGGATTAGGAGGTGTGACCTTACTGGAGGAGGCATGTCACTGGGAGACAGGCCTTGGGTTTCAAAAGACTTAATGCTATTCACAATGTGTCTCTCTACCTCTACTAGGAGATCAAGATGTAAGTTCTCAGCTGTTCCTTTGCATCATGGATTCTAATCCTGCAAAAACATAAACCAGATTAAATGTTTTCTTTTATAAATTGCCTTGGTATTTTATCCCAGCAATAGAAAACTAAGATAATGGCTGCTGTTCCTCAGATCATACACAACTGGTGGATGACCAGGCCCTTTTTTCATTGGTCAGCAGTACTTGCCACTTTTGAAATTTTTCAGCTGTCCTTTAGAATTGTACTTGCCTAGCTTGGATTCGGTGTTACAGCATTTTGTCTGATGTACATGGACACACCATTAAAGTGCATCATGTGCAGTGGTTAAGACGTAGTTGCAGAGCATTGTGTCCTTGAGAAAATATCATCCAGCCCTTACACACTTTCATAAACAGCCTCCTGATTGCATCACTAGCAGCCTTCAGAGAACTGTAGCATTTACCTCTTTCAAGCCCCAAACCATCATCTGATTATTTTTTTGACCCATAGACAAAAGGACAAATTACACGGTTCTTACTCTTTAGAAAATACATCTTGTATCTTATCATTCTTCCTTCCATCTTTACTTTAAAATATACCTAAATGCCAATGAATATGTGTAATGAATGTATATGCAATTTAAAGCTCATAAAGCAACTGACCACATACCTACCACCTAACTTGAGAAGTAAATTAACTCTTTAAAAATATTCTGCAGTTCTAGGCTGACTCCCCCATCCCCAAAGCCTTTTGCTGAGGTCAAGTTATAAGAAGATGGGAGTGGATGTACAGATTCTTTTCTGTAAGACACTTCTTTTCAATTAGAGAGAAAAAGCACAAACACAGTGTCTAGAGGACACGTTGAGCTATTGGTAACAGATACTCAGATGATTACACTGGAGGCTGGTGAGGTCACGCAGGCCACTGTTGCTTTCTGGCATCCTGGCAGGAGTTCTGAAGTACTGTTAACTCACCTGGTGTCTTTGTGTAAATATGAAAAATTTACTCTTGCTGTTTGTAATGGCTGTACACACACACATGCACACACACACACACACATGCACAACCAGTAAGACTTTAGCAACCTCCAGAGTTTATAGGCCACAGCCTACCCTTCCATAATTCAAGGTTTACAGAGCAAGTGGCTGCAGATGAGCTTCATCATTATAAAATGTCATACCTGTGCCCAGAATTCTTTGAAAGGCTTGGCATCACATGTGTAGGTAGACAAGCTCTCTCCTTTCACGCTCCTTGCTCCATGACTGGACTTATGAGCAAGCTGGGTTTTTGGAAAGCATAGGCTAGAAGTCATTTAGCAAACCTGAATTGTTATGAACTGGGTCAGAGGCAGGATGACTATTAGTAAAAGTAGGTCAGGCTTTGTGTTATCTGTTATGTTGTCTATGCCCAGTGAAATCCTGAGAGGTAGTGTGGTAAGACAAGTGAGCTCAGGGTGCATATGGAATGGATGGATGGATATGTAGTATCTCATAATATAGTCTTGGTTACCCTGAAACTTGCCATGTAGACTAGAATAGTATATAACTATGATGTTCTTCTTGCTTCTACTTCCTGAGTGCAGAAAGTAGATGCATGTACGACCATACTTGACTTTTCATGTTGAATTATTTATTTACTTGTATGTGTGTGTGCACGTGTGCATGCATGTGTGCGTGCTTACTTATATGTACCTGTCCATGTCTGTAGAGACCAGAAGAAGGTGTCATGCCTTCTCCTCTATTACTCTGTCTATTCCTTTGTAGCAGTCTCTCCTCAAACCTGGATATCATGTTTTCTCGGCAAGCAAGGAACCCCATTTCTTCCCCCTCAGAATAAGATCAGAGATATACATAGGATGCCTGGCTTTTTAATGTGTGTGTTGAGATCGAGAATGTTGTCCTCATGATCACACAGCAATCATTCTTAATTGTTGAGCCATTTCTCCATCACCATATTAAATTCCTAAGTCTAGATAACCATATGTTAGAGTTCATCCTGGACAACCCGGGGTCAATAATCTTATCCTTGTGTAGCTATTGTAATATAACCCTTTGTTTTTCTTTAAATCATCCCAGCTTTGGACAGTAATTTCTGTGGTCATATGTATTAGACAACTTTTTTCCTTGACAACAAATCCTTTTAAGATCTTAGAGACTCACAGCACCAGCTCTTTAGGTGTTACTCATGGATCTGTGTCTCAATTGCAATTCTGCCACAGGGTGTGGTCAGGGTTAAATTTATTCCTCATTCTAGACTGGAGCTTGTACTATAAGTTATTTTTTTTAGGGTACAGAGGCTTGAAGATCAGCTCTGACATGAGAGTTCTTATTCTCACACACTAGCTCAGACCTCAAAAGTACCTCCGGTCTGAGGTAGATGATCTGTACTAGCTAATTTTTTTTTTTACTTAAATTTTTTTTATATTTTTTATTGTATATTTTATTTATTTACATTTCAAATGTTATCCCCTTTTCCAGTTTCCCCTCCAGAAACTCCCTATCTCATCCTCCCTTCCCCTGCTTCTCTGAGGGTGCTCACCTACCCACCCACTCCTGCCTCCCTGCCCTGGCATTCCCCTACACTGAGGTATCAAGCCTTCAAAGGACCAAGGGCCACTCCTCCCATTGATGTCCGACAAGGCCATTCTCTACTACATATACAGCTGGAGTCATGAGTCCCTCCATGTGTACTCTTTAGTTGGTGCTTTAGTCTCTGGGAGCTATGGGGGGGGGGGATCTGATTGGTTGATATTATTGTTCTTCCTGTGGGTTGCAAACTCCTTCAGATCCTTCAGTCCTTTCTCTAACTCCTCCATTGGGGACCCTGTGCTAAGTCCACTGGTTGGCTGTGAGCATCCACCTCTATATTTTTCAGGCTCTGCAGAGCCCAGGTTCCTGTCATCATGCACTTCTTGGCATCCACAATAGTCTACGTTTGGTGTCTGTATATGGGATGGATCCCCAGGTGGGACAGTCTCTGGATGGCCTTTCCTTCAGTCTCTGCTCCACACTTGTCTCTGTTATTCCTCCCGTGAGTATTTTGTTTCCCCTTCTAAGAAGAAACAAGGCATCCACACTTTGGTCTTCCTTCTTCTTGAGCTTCATGTGGTCTGTGAATTATATCTTGGGTATTCTGAGCTCTTAGGCTAATTTTCTATTGGTGGAACTAGTCAGTGTCTCAGACCAACACAGAGAATTCTGATTTAAACTGATTCCATGAGGAGTGTATTATAAGAGGTGAGAGTGATCTCCCATCATGCCCCTCTCCAGCCTTTGCAGCTGCTCTCCTTACAGTGTTTGTCAGGACAAAGCTAAAGGAGTTCATGAAGAAGTTTTGCCTGCATTTGGAGTACATAATGTGTTAAGAGATTCCACTACTATGTATAGCCTGGTTTGTGTTCAGATTTGATTTTGTGAACTTGGGGCTGGGGATTGATGCCAGCTACAGTGACCCCAGCCAGCTGTTGTAGAAGTCTGCACCAGTAGAGACTTCATTGTATGCAGTGTCACAGCCAAGTGGAGCCTGAGGTCACACCTTGTTCTTCACTGCCCCAGTCACTGTGGTGATCTATGAAGCATGACACCTTTATGCCTGTGTCTGCCTCCACCAACTGTACTACTTACTCCTCACCTCTCTACCTGGATTTTTTGAGGTCTTGTGCATTCCAAACAAACCTTAAACTCACTACATAGCCAGGGATGACTTTGAACTCCTGATCCTCCTACCTCTTATCTCCCCAGATCCAAGATTACAGGCACATGCCACCATGCTTGACTTGTGCAGTGCTGTGGGGCTAGCCCTGGATTTGCACATCTAAGCTATGTCCCCAGCCCCATGCCTGGGGTTGTTCATTTTTGGTTTGATTAATGCCCCTTCACTTGTTAGTTTTACTGGTTAGTCATACTGAGTAATCTCACTGGTTAGAAGTGTTTGGCACTGATTGGCTTTTCTACAACAGTTCCAGAAATTCCTCTACATGACTTAGTGATGATGCCATTTCTTGTTTAAAAAAAATTGATTACCTTGTTTCAATGAGATTTTTTAGCTCAATAGCCGCACTGAAACAGGAATCCCAGTGTTACAAGCAGAAATGTAATATCGTTTTACCACAACAAAGATTGACTGGGAGGCATTGGGGGTATCAGTTTTATTCATCAAGAGCCTGACAGCTGGCTCCTCTCAAGAGCAATTTTCTTGATGAAACTATTATCATTTTGTAAGAGCAATCAGAGTCATGGTGGAAAACCTGGTTGGTAGTTGGTCAGGTTAATTCGGTGGGTAAGTGGTGTAGGTCCTACATGATTTAGCAGGAATCTAACTTGTCACAAGTCATAGAATACTTAGAAGCGCTGGATTTTAAAGTTTCTTTAGAATATGAAGGTATGAAGTCTGTCTTCCCACTGTGTTCCCAAAGCCTAGCATACTGTCTGTCACATAATAGACATTCAGAATATGCTAGAGGGATCAGTGCAGATTTTTTAAGTGACCAGTAGAGGAAAAACCTGGGAAGAGTCTTGGAGTCCTGGGACATAGAAGGGGCATGTAGGAGCATCCTTTAAAATAGTGGTGTCAGGCATGAGATGAGATTCATACTTAGACCCTACCTTGAGGTAAGAACCTGATGGAGACCAGATTCTGCCTTGAAAGGTATGAATATGGCTATGGAATACCACATGGCCATGATACTTTGATCCACATACAATCACCATCATTCCCTGCTGTATCCCCTTGTCCTCGGCCCTTCATGATGTGCCTGCAGACCTCCACTGTGGCTTTGGCTTCAGTAATAGCTTCAGTGTAGGATTTTCTTCTGGCAGCTGAAGCTCATTCTTTCTCTTACGCTGTCTGCATGTTGAAGTGCTGGTATTGGATGCTCATGTCAGTGATTGAATGGAGTGGGTGGGGAGCCCAGGACCTTCCCTTCTTGTGTGGGATAAACTCTTAGGTGCCTGGGTTCTTCCAGCAGCTTAACCTATAGCCCTCACTGAGATAACCGCCTTGATGATACACCACATACTGACAACTTCCCCCACTTTGCCTGTGTGTGTGTGCGTGTGTTTCACTTTCTAAGAAAGCCTCTTGCTCTTGAAACTGGGGGAAACTCAGATTGCCCAAGTCTGTCTGGCTTCTGAAGACCTAAGTAATAGGTACTCTTGATGCTACAAAGCCCAATAAACACAGGACTTAGATTCTTAAAAACTTAATAGAAAGAAAATGTGGTTTAATTCCTAAATTGTATGGCTCTTTGAGATGGCAGGGTATTTTCAAAAGGCAGTTAAATGTCCCCTTCTTCAGAAACTTTAGTGATAGATGCTTTTTTGTAGGACAGAGTCTCATTTGACTTGCAGGGCACTCACAACTTACACAGCTTTGCCCCTTTCTCTTGGAGCCTCTGGTTTGTGTCTGAATCTGCATTGTCAGGTAACACTGCAGCATCACCCACCCACCCTGGCCTTCAGAATCAGGTCCTTCAGAACGTGTGGATGCGATGACCATTCTGCAAAGACTGCACAGTGAGTGGGCCATGAGCAACATCATCACACTGACTTTTTCTTTTTTCTTCTTTGCAGATATCTCTGTGAGCCTGCTAACCCTCGTGGTTACCGCCTGTGGTCTTGCCCTCTTTGGTGTCTCTCTTTTCGTGTCTTGGAAACTGTGCTGGGTTCCGTGGCGAGAGCGAGGCCTGTTTTCTGGTGGCAAAGACAACAACCAAGAGCCTCTTAACTACACTGACACAGAGACAAATGAGCAGGAGAACAGTGAGGACTTCCTAGACCCACCTACACCCTGCCCTGATCCCTCCATGAAGGTCAGCCACACCTCCCCCGACATTCCCCTCTCCACCCAGCCAGGTGGCCAGGAGAACTGTGCCCACGCCGTCCGTGTGCAGCGACAAGTCACAGAGCCAACGCCGTCAGCTCGGTCAGTAATGCCCCTTCCTTTATGAGTGCAAAGCAGGGATCACCCTCTCCCCCTTGCTTACCAGTGGTGGGACTGACTGACCACCTGAGAATCAGTGCAAAGCAGGGACCACCCTGTCCCCCTTGGTTACCAGTGGCGGGACTGACTGACCACCTGAGAATGAGGTAATCATCGAGATGTCCACTCAGTCCCAGAAACATGAAAATGGGGAACTCTGGACCTAGTTCCAGAGCTCAGCGTAGTTTCCATGGAGTCCTTAAAAGTAACAATTAACATTGCTCTCAAATCATTTAGTCATTATTTTTGTATAGTTTACTGTTCTGACATAGGTACTGTTATTTTGATTTTACAGTAAGAGAAATTTAGAATTTAAGAAGGATGTATGTTAGTATGTACCCAGATCAAGATCTGGATACCAGGATCTGAGCTTTTAACTACTTCTCTTATGGAGGCCTCCTAAAGCCAAAAAAGCCTCTTACCTATTCTAGCATTCTTCAGATCCCACAATATAACTGGAAGTTTTTGTCTACTGTCAGGCATTGTAACAATTGCAGACTACTAGGAATGGAGTTTTTATTGTTTGGATGTTATATGTTCTTAAGCAGTAGATGAATAATGTACTGATGAGTACTAATGTAGTGATTAAAAATCAGTGGGCTCTGGGGTGTAAAGAACTACTTTATTGACATATGTGGCATGGAACAAGTCACATAACCTCCATACGTGTTCATTTCGGCTTCTGTAACAGAGGGATAGCAGAAGTACCAACTTAGGAGTGATTTTGAGAGTGAAATGGTTATGTACTCTTGCACAGATTGTTGTCACACTTATTTAGCTATTTTACTCAGTCCTTATATCTCTACCCCGTTCCAACCCTTATTCCACCCTAATCCCTCCAACCCCTCAACACTAGGTAGGAGAGAAATAAGGTTAGAGGGGAAAGGGGGTGTAGACCTCTTTAGGCTACTTACTGCTGATTGGGGCATTGGGTTTCTTGGGGGGAAGTCCACTCTTCATAGTCAGGATGTCTTCAGTTATTCTCATCTCTTTGCCCAAGACCACTTGACAAAGTGCCTCAGCAGGAGGCAGCAGCAGCAGGGAGGAGCAGCTTCCACAGGACCTCTTGGGGCTCTCCCATTTATACCTTCTCCAGAGTCCTTAGAATTAAAGTATCTGCAGCTGCAAAAATCACGCCCCTGCTAGTGCACAAGGCAAAATCAGAGTTGCCTGTGAAGCAGCCACTTAGCCCACACCTGGGATTAAAACAAAAGCATATTCATATAAGCCAACCAGGTTTTAAAGAAATCCAAACTCTCACTACACAGATATGCAGGGGTGGCACCAATCTCTCACTACAGAGATTTGCAGGGGTGGCACCAATCTCTCACTACACAGATCTGCAGAGGTGGCACTGCCATTCTGCCTTCCATGTCACTGTTTTCATCACCACTGCCATTGGAATGGAGCTCTCCCAAGATGCTAAAGTTGGACGCTGAGGAAGAGGCACACGTCCTCCAAAATGCTAAGGCTGTGCAAAGGTTAATTTGAGGTTAAGCAACCTGTTCTAATCACTGGATAGAAAACCGAATTTTTGGTAAAATATTTTACGGGGAAAAAGACACAGGGATCAGCCTTTTTAAAAATGAAAGTATTTGTTTGAGTTATAGCCAGAGAAATAACATGCAATTATTATTTTTTTTAAATATGAGCCTAGTTTGGGTGTCTTTAAAAAGACCTTTCTGTTCTCTGAAAATAGGAATGATAATGCAGTTTATCCTAGAGACTGCCTATTCATATTACATGAGATAGAATATGACAGTTATAGTTTTATTTTTTTTCCAGAAACTTATTTTAGCATTATTTCTAGTTCTGTATCAAAGAGCAAAAGTTAAGTAGTCTTCCTTAAGGAAGTGGCTGGTTGTCTGCCATTTGATTTACAAGAAATCCTCAGATTTTATCAGTAGGATTTCTCTTCAGATGACTAGAGTTCACACAGTGGGACAGACTTATAATAAGATCTTTTAGTGTCCCCCAAGACCTGGAGCCCTTCATGTGGGTCACTCCTCAAGGTGTCTCACAGTTGCTTCTGTTCTGCATCCAGTTGCTCCTGTCTGGATTCTCTCAGACACATAGTCATACAAATGGTCTCCCTCCTCACCTATTCTGATTGGTATGGCCTGCGTATGTTATGGCTGAGTAGCTTGGTGTTCTTTGGAAATCCTAACAGTGGGAGTGGGGGCTGTCTGGATTCCTTTGCCTACTTGTGGGACCTCTCCACTGGGTTGCCTTGCCCAGCCTTGATATGATGGTACATGTCTAATCTTGTAGATTGTCATACTGAGTTTGGTTGATGTCCCTGGAATGCCTGCTCTTTTCTGAGGGAAGGAGGGGGTGGGGGTAGAGTGTGGGCATTCTGGGGGAGAGGGGCAACAGGGGCCTGGGAGAGGTTGGGAGGGGGTAGTGAGGGGAAACTGTAGTCAGGATGTAATATAAGAGAGAAGAACAAAAAGCAGTGTTCTTATTAGATTCGATCTGTGCATCCTGCCCTATAACGCTAGAAACCGCTATCAATGCTATCTCTGTAATTATTACAATGTAATAATTAGCATAGAAAAATATTTAGATAGACTGTGTATAAAGAAATGTATTTAAACGAGAAAATTCATTGTTGGTTTCACCATAGATTTGCGGAAATTCGGTAGAAGAAACAAAAAGGAGAATAATAAAGGACTAATCCCCCTCAAGTGCACTTTATATTCAGATTATTCTAGATTTGAAGATATGCAATTAAATTATCTTTCAAACAGAGAAAATTGGGTTCAGTAACAGCTGAACTGCCATTAGCAATTTAAATGCTTTTTGGCTGCATTTGACCCAGTGTTAACAATTTGTATTATTGTGCATTTAAACCAATCATTCCTAAATTACTACTGACTAGTTCTGTGGATTCTTCCTGGAAATGCATATCTTTGTCTAGCAGTGTATCATGCACTGTTCCTCAAATTCATTAGCAAGTGTTTTGTTAGAATGTGTACATACGCACATGCATGCACACACACATGTACATGCACACATGGGAAAGAAGAGGGAGAAAATGTGTTGTGGGAGCTCTTTCCCTGGGGAGTTGTAAACCGTCTGTCTATCTTGTATACTACCACCAACCAACCAAGGTATAATTCCAACATTGCCTAAATTGGGGAATCTTACTTTTCTCAGAATGTTTTAATAGCAGAGCTTTCTAAGAAACCTTAAATATATGAAACTCCTGAACCCCCGAAGTAGAAGGAACCTGAAATTCTATCTACTCTGTTTCATGAGTCATGCATGTCCCATGCATGCATAAAAGTTTATTTGAGCCTCAAATTTCTTGCCTAAATAACAACTGAACTGGTCAACCTCAACTCCTTATCAGCTCTGTGAAGGCCCTGTGCCAATCAGCGTAGTTTCCCCTCATGTCAGGGCCACCATGGTGCACAACTCTAGAGGTTTCCTGTTCACTTGGACTCAGCAGAAAGCTCTCTATACTCAGCTGCTACACTTGCTTCCCTGGCTCCCTGCAGTGTTTAAGCTGGTTTGTGCCTAGAGTCCTTAACACAGGCTGCTTGCTCCCTCAGCCACCAGTGCTTTTCTTCTATTCTGACCCTTCCTATTTGCCTTGGCAATGTGAATGTTCTAGCCTAAATGTCTCTGCCCAGCATACCCCACCAGAAAAGAATGTGTTCTAGCTTCTACTGCAGTTGTTCTCAACCTGTGGGGCACAACCTTTGGGGGGGGGCGTTGAATGAGCCCTTCTTCACAGGAGTCACACATCAGATATCCTGCATATCAGATATTTACATTATGATTCATAACAGTAGCAAAATTACAGTTATGAAGTAACAACGTAATGACTATTGTCAGGGATCACCAGAACTTGAAGAACTGTGTTAAAGGGTTGCAGCAGTAGGAAGAACCACAGTTCTATTGCCCTCCCACCTCAGGTTTTGTTGTCACTCCTTCATAGCATTCGACTGTTTCCAAGTCATCGTTTGTTTGCTTTGTTCCTGTACTTTGCTCTAGACTGTTCTGTAAGCGCAAAGACCCATATCTATTTTGTTTTCTTTTCTGTGGCTAGTCCTTGGTACAGTTCTAGGAATGGCAGACTTTCTTCTGTGAATGGCTGACAGAATACACTGGCTAGCAGCAGGCCACTTTTCCCTTCTTCTCTGACAAGGGTGGCCAAAGGTCAGAATTATAGACTACGTAGGGCCTATAATGGTGTGAGCCTGGTGGAAAGGCACTCACCTCAAGCTTCACGTTTATTAAGAGCCTCCCATGTAGACTTTTGACCTTATCTCTGAAGTAAACAATCCGTACAGTCACGACAATGCACTGACAGGGGTTGAAGATGAAGAAAACCACCAGCCTCTACATTTGGATCCCTAGTACTGAGGTTAATGACATAACTCAGTATGGCAGTCTTATTTTCGTGGCTGGGATAGGACCCAGAGTCTCACACATGCTAGGTAAATGCTCTGTCACTGGGTTATATCCCCAGACCTGAGTAGCAGGTTTCTATTAAGCCCTATTTTTGTATTGAAAACAAAAAGGGTTTGTATTACTCTTATAATTATTTCTTTAGATTTTAATAAGTAGATAAATTTGAAAACGGAAGTTGCCTAGGCTTCTCTGAATTCCCATGAAACCCTAAAATTATATTTAAATGCATGTTTCCTGACTAGTATTTTTTTAATTATGAGAAGCTGTTACATCCCTGGCAGTAATGTATTTACTCTAAACATACATATTAAGCATCTGCTGTGTGGAAAATTCTGTAGTGGGTACCAATATTTTTTAACAGGCAAAGAAAATGTATCACTCTCCTCAAAGACTCCAAAGAAGAACACCAATCACACAGATTGAAACATTCAAGTCCTTCTTAGAGGTTAATCTGGCAGGAATAACATAAGATCCATAGGATTGGTAAAGCCCAGGCAAGGGGGACTAACGTAGTCCCAGAG